TACGAGAATTACCTGGGTATCTCATGAGAGAAAATATAAAGTTGGACCTATATTTCAGAAATTCAATATATGATTCAAAGTCAATTTCGTACCACTATACAAGTGTTGAAGTCTGATAACGCATGTGAGTACTTCGAAACCACCATCGGAAAATACTATACTTTACTGAATATGACATTATCCATCAAAGCTCTTGTGTACATACCCTACAATAAAATGGCATACCTGAAAGAAAAAACAGACATATTCTTGAGGTTGCTCGATCAATCATGTTTACTACTCACGTCCGAATATACCTTTGGAAGAGACAATACTTACTGCTACATACTTAATAAATCGAATGTCCTCCCGTATCCTTCATTTTCAGTCACCCTATAACCTCCTCCTGCAAATTTTTCCTGAATCTCATATTTTAAACACTCTTCCACTTAAAGTTTTTGGTTGCTCAGCATATGTTCATATTCATGCACACCTCAGGGGGAAACTTGACCCAAAAGCTCTCAAATGCATGTTTGTTGGGTACTCTTCTAATAAAAAAGGATACAAATACATTTTTTTTGAATACTCGTTGATTTTATAACACAATTGATGTCAAATTTTTTGAAAATCAACCTTTTTACCCAACAACTGATATTCAAGGGGAGAACTTCATTCAAGAATATCAATTTTGGGATGTGAGAGTATGTATACACTCTCTTTATCAATAAATTTCACCAAATGCACATTCTCTAGAGTCTGAACTTAATACTTTACCTGAAACCACATACAAAGAGTCTGAGCCAGTGGCAGTAACTGAAAACACATTGCCTGCAATTAATGAGTTACGTGTTTACATTAGAAAGAACAAGGTTCAAGAAGGGAAAGTGCCTGAATCGACCAAGCCTTGCCACGAATCAATTCCTGCTCCAGATGCCGAGAAATTAACAGGCAATGAGATTTCTGTTCTTGCTACTAATACTGACACTGAACTGCCTATTGCTTTAAGAAAAGGGATTCGGACATGCACCAAACATTCTATACAGGAGTATATCTCATTTGGCAAGCTGTCTTCGACACATCATGCATTTGTGAGCAAGTTAGATAGTAGTTCCCTAGAGCCAAAAATGATTCATGAAACCCTCCAAGTACCAGAATGGAGAACAGCCATCCATAAGGAAATTAGAGCACGTGAGAAGAATGAAACATGAGAGTTAACAGATCTGCCTCCAGGGAAGCATCAGGTGGGATGCAAATGGGTTTTTACAACTAAATACAATTCGGATGGAAGTGTGAATCGGTATAAAGCTCGTTTGGTAGCCAAAGGCTTTATTTAGTCATATGGGATAGATTATCAAGAAATTTTTGCTCCAGTAGCCAAACACAATATAATCCGAGTACTACTTTTACTTGTCTCAAATCTTGATTGGCCACTTTGTCAGGTAGATATGAAGAATGCTTTTCTTAACGGTGATTTAGAAGAAAAAGTATACATAGACGTCCCATCAGGATTTGAACTAACTAACAAACAATCCTCATAAAGTGTATAAATTTAAAAAGTCACTTTATAGTTTTAAACAATTTCCAAGGGCATGGTTTGATAGATTCACAAAGACAGTGAAACGAGTAGGGTATGAGTAATGTCAGTCAGATCACACATTGTTTGTCAAGCACTGTATCTCAGGTAAAAAAATTGTTTTGATTGTCTATGTGGATGACATCATACTGACAGGAGACCATATTGAGGAAATTCAGAAGCTTAAAGAGTTTTTGGCTAGAGAATTTGAAATTAAAGATGTTGAAATGCTCAAGTACTTCCTTGGCATGGAGGTAGCTCGGTCCAAAAAGAGAATTTTAGTATCACAACAGAAATATGTTCTAAATCTTCTGAAGGAGACAGGATGCTCGGAAATAAATTTGCAGACACACCTATGGATCCAACTGTGACACTAGGGTCCAAGATTAGTGATAAAACAGTTGATAAAGAGAGGTATCAAAGATTTATAGACAAACTCATCTATTTGGCATATACAAGACCTGACATCAGCTTTGCAGTTAGTACAGTAAGTCAATTCATGAATCAACCAACTGAGAAACATACGAAGGCTGTATATCGGATTCTGAGATACCTAAAGATGATTTCGGGTCAAGGATTGTTTTTCAAAAAGGCAATGAATAGGGATGTTAAAATCTGCACTGATGCTGATTGGGCAGGATCAATAACAGACAGAAAGTCTACATCAGGATACTATACCTATGTTTGGGGAAACTTGGTCACTTGGTGTAGCAAGAAACAGTCAGTGGTATCTTATAGCAGTGCAGAATCTGAATTTCGGGCACTCGCTCATGGAATATGTGAGGGAGTGTTGTTGAGGAGGATACTATTAGATTTGAAAACTTCTGTTAACACTCTTATGAAAGTATGGTGTGACAACCAATCAACTATTAGCATGGCCAAGAATTCAGTACATCATGACTAAATTAAGCATGTAAAAATTGATCGACACTTCATCAAGAAAAAAATGGAAGATGAAACTATAAATCTTATGCATATTCCAACTAGTCAACAAATTGCAGACATCCTAACAAAAGCTTTACCAAAAGGGACCTTTGATGACATTGTATCTAATTTAGGTTTACTTAACATATATGTAAACTAGATTGAGGGGGAGTGTAGAAAATCATAGAAGGTAATTTGGTTTAATTTCTGTTTGCCTAGTGGGAGGAATCATCAAGTGGTTAAGGTGTGTTCGGTAAACATATATTGTTATTCCTTTCCCCCATAAAGTTGTTAGAAATTGGTTGTATTCCTTTCCTATAAATAAGCACCTCATGGTGAAGGAAATAAGACAAGTAGAAGAGAATTTCTCCATTCTCAGAACTTAAGATTAGAAGGTAGAAGAGTATGAAGTATTACTAAAATTACTGTTTGATGTTCATGTGAATGCTAATATGAACTAGCTAATGTGGAAATCGAAAGAAAATAGTGAGTTTAATGTTAAATCTTTTTATCCCTATCTGATTGGAGTGGGTGAAACTAGGGTGGATTGCTTCTTTGCTAAAGAGGTCTGGAAGGTGCAGGCTCTGCCAAGAATGGTGTTGTTTGCTTGGGAGGCGGGTAGAAAGTGCATTTTGATGATTGACAATGTGACGGGAAGGGGTAGAATTATGGTGAATATGTGTTACCTTTGTAAGGAAAACGGTTGAATCCTGTAATTTTATGATGCCCTGTGGTGTATAATCTTTGGTCAATGGTGTATGGTTTGTTAGGAATTAATTGGGTTATTGTAGGTTTGGTGAAGGAGAAGATTTAGAGCTTGGGGGAAGTTTATAAAAAGATGAAATAGGTAAATCTTATTCCTTTAACGACTTATTGGATGGTGTGGAACTAGAGAGATAAGAGAACTTTTGAGAGGGTTGAGTGTATGTTGAATTCTAAGGAAAAATATTTCTATCGATTGTTGGTTCTTTGTTTCTGGGACTTG